GTTATACATAAATTATCTTCTGCAACAACCTTGTAACATATGATGGATGGTTAGTAGGACTAAAGGTTTGGGCATGCTGAGCTATAACAAACTTGATGTTGTGATGTAGAATAAACGGTATTAGATCATACCATTAACATTTTTATGGACCAGTAATGTTGGCTTATTTTCCACAGTCTCAGCCTGCTATGGCAGACACTGTCCAGAGACACCACACAGTTCTGACCAATCCCACCTACTGCTATGAGAATTAGTTCTGAACTTATTCTGACTGGTGGCAATACACAAGATGGGGTCTCAGCAGGTGATAATAGTAGAAAACTACACAATTTTTGCCATGTAAATGAGAGAATGGGCCTTTTCATCGACTATGGCTGTGTCTTAGTTCAGGGGCTGCGTCCTCCACAGTGCACATTGGTGGTCCGGTTGTGTCACAGAAGGCACTCCCATTTCATGGGCTTCTTGTCTCAAAACCCTGAAAACGAAGGATGCACGACTGTCTTTCATGGTCCATCATCAAACTTTACAGGAAAAATAAAAAGGCGGAGTTTGGACCAAAGAATTTGTTGTTTAGAAAATTAGCTGATGACATATATGATGCGATGTGATGTTAAATTACATGCAACTACAAGTGCTGATACTAGAACCTTATTTATTTATTTATTTATTTACCTTTTTACTTATACAAAATTTAAAGGCTTGTGTACAAGTAAGTACAATACACATTTTGATCAGTATAACAATGAGCAAGTAACATTAACAATAAACACAAATATTGAAAAACCTAAATAGCAACTAGAGGCACATTTAAAGAAAGTTTCACAATACTGTTATAACGTGTAACATTTTTAAAAGTACGTTGATTTTTGGGAAGTTATACCTCCCCTAAAAAGACATGTGGATACATGTTCCATCTGAAGGTGTGTGATATAAAACATGGTAAACAGGGTGGTCATGCAAGCATGTGTCTCATTTAACAGCGGTTAGAATCAGTCTAACTGAAGGGTGTGGCCTACATGGGCTGCAACCTCTGAATTAAGAAACAATCACATATTAGACTAGATAGACTCATTAGGACTGAGTTCACATGCTTYAAGAATTCATGTGCAAAATGTTTTTTTTTTGTAGAATTCCCATTTCATTTTAATTCCCATTTGTCCCCATCAGATCTTAACCCTGCAGCATCTCTCACCGTGAGTCCTGACACAGTCCCACACTTCACCTCTGACTGTGTGTCTTTAAACTGTGAGGGAAACTCAACTGAGTGGGCAGTGTTGAGTTTTACAGGAACAGGTCACCTGTCATATGTCTGTGACTGGGGTTCRATGACAGGATCCACATGTGACACTGACGACCTACAGGAGGGTGTCGGGGTGTTCTGSTGTGCCTCTGGATCCGGACACTTCAGCAATGCTGTCAACATCACTGTGCAGAGTAGGTCAAAGATGAATGTTTTATTTATATTTTAACTCGATTTTAGATGTTTTATATTGTATTTTAGGTGGAAAGTAAGTTTTTATTTTTATTTTTTCAAAAATCAGGACTTATATTAATATTTATACATATAATATTTGTAATTGTAGAAAACCAAGAATATTTAAAGCCTGATTGTCATCATCATCATTATTATTATGTGATTTTCATTTTCAAAATTGTTGGATATAATTTTTGTCTTTCCAAAATACTTAAAGAAGTATTTTTAATTTTTAGAGCACTGGACAAAAGGCTGGTCAACATTTACACGAACAGCTGTTGTAATTGTTTGTGGAATTTTTGTCATTATTCTTTC